TGTTCAACTCGGGGGGGGGGGTGTCGGCCGTTCCATGCTCAGGGTTCTCGAGAGCTCGCAGCTGTAGGCCTTTTGTTGCCCGAGTTGAACACTTCGATTGCCCGTATGTCCGGGTTTGTTCCTACAGGTGAACGCGTGGGGTGACCAGCCCACCCTGGAAATGGTGCGGCTTATCGTGGAGTGGGGGGGCTTCTGCTTCCTGGACAAGGACAAACGAGGAGACTTCAAGGTACGGTTGACATCAACGCCGGAACATGATAGATCGACAATTGTGGTAGGCAACTGTCCAACTGGCAGAGAAACCAACAGCATGGAGGCCAATCCCAAACCGTTCATGTCTGACAGCTCGGGGGCGTCATAAAGAGTCGCTTGCTTCGCCTAGCCTCTCTCATCACCGCATCACATCCTCGCTGCTCCCACAACGTCCCAACCACCGCAACCCTACAGGTGTGTGAGGACTTGCAGTACATCGCCGCCATGGGCCACCCAGGCGGCGGCAAGAACGACATCCCCAACCGCCTCAAGAGAAACTTCTTCATCTTCAACCTTGTGCTTCCGAGTATCACGTCAATCAACGACATCTACGGACAGATGTTGAGGGGGAGGTTCAAGGATGGTGGCTTCGACGCAGAAGTTATGAAGGTAGGAATGATGGAATCATGGTTGCCTTCAATTCCTGGCTCGAATGTCCTTGCCAGAAACAATATGATTTTTCGTACCAAAGTGTTGCCGTTGCCGTGCGTGCCCTTGCCTATCCCGGCACGTGTGTCATCAAACGAAAAAGCATCCGAGCACAAGTAGGCGCTGAAATTTTTCCTCTCGCCGCCCGTTGTTGAACCAATACCTTCTTGCAGGTGGTAGGAAACCTCACCCAGGTGACCATCAGCCTGTGGCGTACAATGAAGGCCAAGATGCTCCCGACACCGGCCAAGTTCCACTACCTCTTCAACATGCGCGACCTATCCCGAGTTTTCCAGGTACGAGCATTCCTCGGTCTTTGACCTGCAAGACATAGCACAGGATCCGATCCCGGGAGTCGTACAATGTAGGGGGCTTTTGGAGCTACCCTCGGCTGTGCATGCCTCTAGGTCTGAAAATGGGTAGCATCTTGAGAGACATTTCAGGGGCACAACCGTAGCGGTGCACACGAGTGACGGTGTGAAAAATGGGAAAGATCTGAATCGGTCCTTGTTGCCTTCCCGAGAATTTTCGATTTTGTTGGTTAATTGCGGCCGGAAACAGCCGGACGATGGGTGGAGACTTACTATTCAGGCACACACTCATCTCTACCAAATGCTTGTCTGGAGGCTCTGCGTGTCGTCGAGTACTTCCACAACTTCGTCCTGAAGGTCTAACTTCGTCCTGAAAGTCTTGCCTAACTTCGAGTGCCCGGCCGAGACAAGGCGTCGTCCTGTTGCGATTGAGGAAGATTTGCTATGCTTGCGGCGACACCGAGTTTTTTAAAACACATAGAGACCTCTCCCGACACGTTGTATTTTGTTTTGTGTGTGACGAAGGGTATACTGCTCACACCCAAGACTACCATCACGGAGCGGGGCGGGACACGGGCCGTCGAGGGTAAACTCAACATGAGCCCCGTAGAGGTGCTGGTCAACCTGTGGCGGCATGAGTGCGAGCGAGTGTTCTGCGACAAACTCACGACTAACAAGGTGAAGGACATAACCCATCCACCGTTTGCCTCGTTTTTTCTTTTCACTAAAACAGGGAGTGTAGTTTACTGTGAACGTCCAAACGGAGATGAACGCCAACAAATCCAGCCCTTGATTATTACTGGACGATTCGACCCCATGGTTGACTCGAATACTGAACGAGTTGAGGATACTATTGTAAATTAAGCATTTTCTACGCCCGGTTTGCCGTTGGATGTCAAGCTGGAGAACAATTAGGCTAGCATTCAAGGGTCACTGCCTGCCCTTACAATCCATCGTACATGCCCAGGAGCAAGAAAGTGTTTCGTGCTACCTGAAACGCGTTTGATTTGTTATTTGCTGTCCATTCCGGTACATGTCAAACAACTCCACTTCGCCCTGCCTCGCGCATTTTCTTAATGGAGGTACTCTGTTCCCCGCGTGAACGCTTCCCTCATCCGTTTCAAGTCCTCGCCTCACATACGCCCGTGACCTTACCTGCGACTGCTCGCGCACTACCGTTCATGTGCGTGCAATAAACAGGACAAAGAGTTCTTCGACAAGTACCTGTCTGGTCTAGTCGGAGAGGTGTTCGGCGAGGAACTCATGGACAAGACCAAGCCGGACTTCTATATGGTCAACTTCCTCCGGGACGACGTCCTCGACGAGGAAGGGTCTCTTGTAGAGGAGGCGCCGAAGGTATTCTAGGATGGTTGAGGAGCGAAGTATGAATGAGAAGGTCATTTGCCGCTCAGATAGCGTGCTATGCAATATACACATGGCTGGTGTAGACTTCAGATGCTCTGATTGAGCGTGCCAGATGCATGAACTGAGGATGAAACCAACGGGCTCGGCGTTTACGTCTTGACCTTACGTCAGACTTGACCTTGCGTCAGAGCAACTTTCTCGACAAAGTGTATTTATCCTTGCAATGTTTTGCCGGTACAAGGTATACGAACCTGGAGGGCTCTTGACCGACATCCGTGACCGTGTGAAGGAGTTCATGGGGAAGCACAACGAGGAGTTCCCGGCCAAGAAGGTGATGAGATCGATACCCCTCCCACCCACAAATCTTCCCGACGGTGGAAAGGACGTACTGCCCAAGCATAAACATGACATATCGCATGCTGACTGCTCTTCGTGCTTGACCAGCGCCCCGTCTTGAGCCCCGATATAGTTGGAAAGGACAAGTGGCGTTCTCTCACTTATTGCTGACGTCGTATTCCCATTGGAACCGCTCCCACCACCCCAAACTCCATTCCACAATATAAGTTCGAGATGACCCCATTCCAATATTTAGTTTGCCATGAGGAATCTCTACGGCCTACCTGCCAGTCCTCCTCCTGTGTACAACATACAACACCAAAGTTCACCATGCGGACAATACTCTCCCCCTGCCCCTCCTTGCACTGCCACCTCCCGCTCCACACAACACTAGCTTGAATTGGTGCTGTTCGACGATGCTCTGAGGCATCTCCTACGGCTCAACCGTCTTATCGAGATGCCGAGGGGTTCGGCCCTCCTCGTCGGCGTCGGCGGGTCGGGAAAGCAGAGTCTCACCCGCCTGGCCAGCTACATCTCGAGAGCTGTGTGCTTCCAGATCACCTTGACGAAGACCTACAACATCAACAGCTTCATGGAAGACCTCCGGTACGCGGTGTTTCATGTGAAAACATGTCTGTTGCTTCATGCACACCCCGGTGCACACTCGTTGGTGCAACGAAACACCACGCAAAGCCATTGTGACTCGATCCGCCCCTCTAGAAAGTCCCCTCCTGGATGCATCCTTCCCGTTGTGTTTCACTGAAACGCCCACTCCGTCATGTCTACAGGTTCATGTACAAGAATGCGGGGCATTTGCGCAAGCCGACCGTGTTCCTGTTCACAGAGGCGGAGATCAAGGACGAGGTACAGTGCTTGAATTCGCCGTAGACTGCATTTCATCACCGATCCAAACAAAAACCTGCTCACAAGGTCTTAGCGGCTACTGTTGTTCGGACTATTCGGAAACGTGAGTAACCGTTTCGCGTCATTGCGTCTGCCGTGAAATGAATCAAGGTTTTCCTGGAGGTGATGAACTCCGTTCTCATGACTGGTGAGATCCCCGGATTATTCGCGAAAGACGAGATGATGGCCATGACGGCCGATCTGAGGAACTCCTTCCTGAAGGTAATTTCTTCATGACTTCGGTTGGAATGGGTAGGAATGGCTGTTGCAACGTTTTCATGTTTGACTGAACGATGGTCTGATCTCTGTCTAGTACCTCCGACAAGTACAAGAACGTACAGGCGTATATCACGCAGAAGCTTCAAGACCAAGCAATGAGACATTTTTTTCTGTCTGATGTTGCGGTGTTATGTTCTTTCGTTTGGCCACGCGGAACTAGGCACGGCCGGGACAAGAGGAAACATGGGACAACATGAAGCAATACTTCGTGGATTGCGTGAGAGATAACTTGCACCTCATCCTCTGCATGTCTCCGCTCAACCCTAAGTTCCCTGTCAGGGCGAGGTAATACTGCGGTGGCTGTCATTTTTGGTATCAATCGGTCATTGAATGCTTCCCAGTCGGCTAGAGAGAGTGAAGGAGAGTACCCTTCGCTCAATTTTCCTCTGTCGAGACATTCGAGTCATGGACAGAAACGGAGTTCCGTTTCGAATGAGACTCGTTCGCAATCCAAACGGAAGCCAAGCTTCGTCCTCTGCATACCGCACAGGCAGTAGCTAGCTCCCGTGTGCTCAAACCTAACGTCCCTTACATGGCTACCCACCTCAACCTTTTGTACGAAGTCCGACAAACGTGTCGGGGGTGCTGACTCAACCGCATTGATCAGGAAATTCCCCGGTTTGATCTCGGGCCCAACGATCGATTGGTTCTTGCCGTGGCCCGAGGAGGCCTTAGTCGCTGTTTCCCACGGTCTCGTGGCGGAGTTCCCCATGGACTGCCCTGCCGATGTCAAGTCACTCCTCATGACGCACATGGGTGTGGTTCACCGCATGGTTACTGAGGTGGGTGAGCTAGCTGACAGGCCCAATTCAATGCACCTGGCATAGCCCAATCCAGCATTTTTCAGTGTGTCTTGAGCTGCCTCGAGATGTCAACTCCTCGTTTTGACACACATGAGGCGCGAGTCCAGCGACAAACCCGACATTGAGACAAATGCCTGATTGTCTCGCCTGCTATACTTGAATGCACTGCTTTCGGGATGCTTATCGCCTGCGGTCGTATACACGTCGGCACAGGTTTGCGACGAATACTTCACCAAGATGCGAAGGCAGGTCTACCAGACGCCCAAGTCCTACCTCTCCTTCCTGCAGCTATATAAGGCCATGTACAAGGAGAAAATTAACGAACTCAAGGTATGTGACCCGTCACAAATCGGTAGCTCGTGGGGACAAGGTAAGGTGGGTTCAGGGAGGAGTATGCCGATGCGAACGACGTATCCGGCGAACTGTACGAGGTGATGTCGAGGGCGAGAGTAGCTTTGATGCCATATATTGTAGCGACGTTTTTTTCTGTACGTGCAGCTCGCAACAAGTGGTTCAAGGGCGGGAAGAAAATATGTGTTTCCCTTTGTGGAGGACGTCATTGTTGCGATATGCACTCATTTGTGGCGACGCACTCAATTCTTCTACGCTAGTCATGCTTTTGATGGATCAAGACCCTACAGTCATATTCCAGACCTTGGCGTACGATTTTACCAACGAGACCTGGCTGTTCGATTAGCTATATTTTTCAAACCTATGGCTTGTATGCTGCATCATCTCCACACTCACACATGTACTCACCCATCACGTATTAACAGGAGAAAGAAATGAGACTCAATCTCGGGCTGCAGAAGCTCATTCAGGGCGCCAAGGACGTCGCGGCGATGAAGATCGTGCTTGCCGAGGAGCAGAAGAAGCTCGAGGTGGCCACGGCAGAGACAATGAAGATGCTCTCCAGCCTAGAGGTGTCTTCCGCGGAGGCTCGCAAGGAGGGAGATCAGGCAAGTAGTTGGCGTAACGTTTAACACCTGAAAGTCCTCGGAGTTAGATGAAGGCGGAGGCATGTGATGAAACCAAACCGAAGCGAAACGTACTCAGCTTCTGCTGGCGAAGGATATCATGTTCTTTACATCGAGTTGGGTTTGGTGAAAGGGCACTAGACGTGGGCCGGTGGTTGTAGAGGTATAGAGGAGACAACACTCCAGTGACAAATAATCACGAAAAAACGAGGCGTTCAGGGGTCACGACTAGAGGCTAACTGCCGCACAGAACTGTCTTACACTCGTAGACAGGGTTATTGCGGAATGAGGTGATCGGTACGTGCTTCGATACGATCGATGGCGCCGTCTGTACTCAACGTCTAGGTGTCTACCATCAAAACCAAGTGCGAAGACGACGCTCGAAGAATCGCGGCGGAAAAAGATTCTTGTATGAGCGATTTGGCTAAGGCCCAGCCTTTCGTGGACCAGGTGCGAGAAGGATGACACCACATGGGTGGTTAAGTGGTGATAGCTTCACAAGGGCCAAGTGGCTTGAACTCTGGATTAAAACTTGTACCGCCAATAATGCTATGCACTTGGCCAACTTTAAATAGGACATAGCGGTGATGCCCAGAGCGCCTGTGCAGAATGTTCACAGTAGAATTGACTTTAGTGCGCTCGAGCCGTTGCTGATAAGAAGTCGCCAATGAATTACTTCGCCAGGGCTGAAACCTCGAAGGATGGCGTGTTGATTGATTTCGTTTTTCGATACTTGTATACTATTTAGTAGCAAGTCATCAGGTTTCTGATTGTTTTTGACTACCTGCAAATATTCTTACATTGCGGCATTGAAATGTTGAGGACCCCCAAACGGACCTAGGCCATGACATTAGTTACCCATGTTTCGGGGTGCATTGGGGGCGCGCCGTTCAGAAACCGGGCGAACTTACGGTGAATATGAATAAATATTGAAATACAGGCCGACAAAGCCATCAGCTCGATCAAGCCTGGGCACATCCAGGAAGTCAAGAAACTGCCTAACCCTGCGGACGTGATCAAGATGGTGTTCGACTGCATCCTTTTGCTGTTCCATTCACCGGTGAGGGTGGGCTCTTCACATGCAAGTAGGTCATCAACAAATATGTTTTCATATGGACAGGTGCTTCAGGCCACTTTGTCCATGAACAGGATACGGAGGGCACGGGGCACATTTTGCCTCGAATTGTGTTCGTGCGGGTGCTCCATATATATATCCGGTATGAGGCACTACTCAAAACACGGCAATTGATCCCGAAACACTCTTCTGCAACGTTGAACCCGTTTAATAAACAACAACACGTGTCGGAGAACCAAAACGTCAACCCAACGTACGGCTTGTAGAGATGACCGTTCTTGCGTTGCTTGTGTTTTCTACTGTGTCAATGTCGCGCTTTAGCGGCTTTGTCCAGGGGAACAAAATTGTGGTAAAAACGCGCCGCCCTATGTGCTGTTGCCCCCCGCCACCGCTGGTTCTACCGAAAAAAAAGAAATCGTGAAAAGCAGATCTATGTCTTGGCTGAAAATCGATCCCTCCTTTGTATCCGTGAGGTGTTCGCTTTTCAAAGGGTGACTTGTATAAATGTGGTCTTGGAGCGTTTCCTCAGCTGCTATCCACGATCGCAACCGCGTTTGCCGCACGGACAAATGTTTCCTGGATGAGAGTCTTGCTGTTGAGCGAGCAAAGGTTTCGAATCGAATCATGGTCGTTTTAGCTGCTGTTTGGGCCTGTTCTTCGCCGTGTTCTCGACCTTGCTTGTTTTTCGTCTAGACTCTTCCCGTGAAGTCGTTCAAGCTCAACATCGCCAAGAAGGAGGTGGAGTTTTTCGAGACCTCTTTCAAGCCCTACGGCCTGTCCTGCATGTCCAACCCGGCCTTCCTCAACAACGTCATCGATTTCGGCAAGTTCGGAAAGGACAAGATCAACGAGGAGACCATTGAGTTCCTGGTACCCTATCTCGAGATCGAGGGCTTCAACCCGCAGGCGAGAAGGCGCATCCTGTGACACGCACTCGCAGGGGAAAGACTGTCGAATGACGCTCCCGAACGAAGCGTTGAGATTCATCGCCGTACCTCGTGGTAACAGCTTGGAGTATTATTCCCTTACGTAGAAACCCCTTGGCTTCACTGCAATCCACTGAAGGTGGCGTTGTCAATCGCCTTCAACAGGGACACCGGCGCGTGTTTTGTCCGACAAGTTCCCCTAGTTACAATCTTTCACCAAGAGCCTGTCACCATCCTTTGGTAACACCGTTGTTCATCTCTCACCAAACGCTTGGCGGCCGGACGCGAATGTTGCAGGTGGCCAAGAACGCATCGGCCGCCGCGGAGGGCCTGTGTACCTGGGTAAGGGCGATGAAATTCTACCACGAAGCTTCAAAGATCGTCAAGCCAAAGCTCGAGGCGCTTGCTATCGCCGAGGGTCAAATGGACGCCGCCAACAAGGTACGACGACGGAGGGACTCTCCCCCGCACTGTTTGGTGCTGCGATTCCTTCGGCTTATGGGACACAAAAGAAAGAGATGCCCTTATATGGTGGCTGTGGAATGGGGGAAAAACCGAACTCTCCTACTCATCCACCGTGACTACAGAACACCCTCGTACCTCAGCTCATTCAATGTATTGTCGAGACGGCTCGGTCACGTAAAAACTAAGAAAGTGACAGTTCCATTGGTACAACAATCCCCGTCTTGGTTCAAAACCTCCTCACGCTTTCTCATTCGTTCGTTGTATTTTCAAAAATATCCTTATTACAGGCTTTGAACGCTGCCGAGATGCGTCTTCAGGCGTGTACAGGGCGACTCCAAGAGCTACAGACCATGTTCGACAACCAGATGGCGGAGAAGAAGAGAATCGAGGACGGAGCCATGGCCTTGCAGCGCAAGATGAACCAGGTTTAGCCGATAGCCGCCGCTCTGAATTTTGTCGCGAAAGCGACAGCTCAAAAAAACCTTGACCTGATGGAGCGAAGAGTACGTAACTTGACCCCGGCAGGGAACACCGCGGTAGGACACCCGTTCTGTCGTAGTCCATCCCTGTGGCTTAAAGACTGTTTTGTTATCGAATTTTGTTGTATATTTGATAACAGGCGTCCACCCTCATCGGTGGGCTGGCGGGCGAGCGCACGCGTTGGACGGAGGACAGCGAGAAGTCGGCAGACCTGAAGCGGCGTCTGGTCGGGGACTGCGCGCTCGGGTCGGCCTTCGTGTCGTACTGCGGGCCCTTCAACCAGGAGTTCCGACAGTACATGGTCACCGACAAGTTTACCGCCGATTTGCAGGTAACACCACTTGATATGAGGGCGACAATTTGAAACGCAACGATGATGCTGGGTGTGGCCGAAGTGCACATTCTGTAAGTGAGAATGGGGGAAATTTCTGTTTCCGGAATGCGTTTGATGTATATTGGTAAGATGCGAGGAACGGCGATGACGTCACTACGGACACCATTGTACGTCGCATGGGGCCCATAGAATCATCTGGGGTGTTGCAAACACTTCCTTTGGACACATTCAAAATCTTTCGATAGCTTGACTTAATCGTTCTCGTTTTTCGTTCGGGTTGACAGGTCCGAAAAATCCCCGTAACTCAGAATCTCGATATCATCCCGTTCCTGGTGGACATCGGCACCATAGGAGACTGGAACATCCAGGGCCTGCCCACCGACCCGTTGTCCATTCAAAACGGTATCCTCGTTACGAGATCTTCTAGGTGACATGATGGGTCAACACGTACGCTGACGTCATTGCAAAGCGTCCCACACGTGATTCCGACTTTGAGAGAACTTCGATGGGATAGTTGAGACTTAAAAATACTCACCGGAACTGCGTTGGTGCGAATCTTACGCCAAGTTTGAGCAGGTTTTCTGGAAAGAATAGGATCGGGCATGAAGTCTTCCAACTGATGGCGCGATAGTTCGAAACACCCTTCATGGCGCCCAGACGCAACTGTACTCATTTATTGAGTTCAACCAGAGTTTCATGGTGTCCTAGTGGTCCTTTCTAAGATTAAACGCTTTGAATATGAATGCGAAGGGTTCCACTACCGTACTCTTCGGCTGACCCTCTTCTGTTTGTCCATTTGGTTGTCAAACAGAGGCGTGCCTCGAACGAGGCTTGGAGGAAACTGGCTCAGTCCATTCGACCAGAACAAGAAACGCTCAAAACATCAGTCGAGAAAGATTAAAGATGGTCGTTTCGACCGTCTCTCGTGTACAACTGTCCTCTATGCTTTACAACGCTGGCAATACTCGCCAAGCTATGGACGCCAAAACGCTCAAGTTCCATGACGTCTACGCCTGCAGGTATCCGTTGATGATCGACCCTCAAGGACAAGCAGTCAGTTGGATCCGAAGCAAGGAGTCCTCCAACCTTCCTACGTTCGGAGTGGCCGCCCTGAACGACCCCAAGCTTAGGGATAAGCTGGAATTTACCATGGGTGACGGGAAAGCTTTGATAATCTTGGGTGAGCAATTCTCGACGCTCTCAACTTCACCAACACAGTACATCTTGGCAGACACTGATGCCACCATCTAGTTTTGCAATGAACGATGCCGACGGGTTCAAGGGCGAGTTACGATTCTTGCTGCGTTCCCACCGTGGCACGAGCGTATCGTCACGAATAACACACCAGCTTCCATGCACGATGATAACCACTAGCCCATACAGTACCCCCATCAAAGTACGAAATGGCGCGCAAATACGTCAATGACGAACGTTCATGAAGCAATCCCTGCAACAACCCATCAAAAGACGAAAATGGCGCGCTGGTAGATCAACGAGGAGTATTCAAGAAGTAAGCAAACGTGTATCTTTCGCAGCCAGCCGTGGATGAAATGTACCCATGACTTCCACATGCTCCAAAGCAGCTTCGTCCTCGTGTTTATTCGGTCTCTCTCGCAACCTGCAAGCCGAGACGCGACGGTCCTGCCGAACGAAAATTAATACTCAGCACCTGACTTCCCTCACAAAACCGAATATATCAGGTGTCGAGCAGGACATTGACCCCATGCTCGACCCGGTCATGGAGAAACAGTTCGTCGTCAAGGGGAAGAAAATGTCGGTCAACGTGTCCGATAAGGCCATGGACTTCGACCCCAGGTTCATGATGTACTTCATCACTCGACTTCCCAACCCCAGCTTTAGCCCTGAGCTTCAGGCAAAGGTGGGACACTAATAATGCATTCGTGGGCGGTGGTGCATGGCATTCTGTTTGACGTTCTGAATTCACCCACAATTGTTGCTGCTAGGTGTCATTCATACCACGCTGCTGACTCACGCACGATCCAAAACCCTGCCTTTCACCCCCCTTTCTCTCTACCTCTCTTTTTCTCTCTTTCTCTCTTAAACTCAACCGCTCGCTGTACGAAGGTCACCCTTGTCGACTTCACGGTTACTCAGAAGGGGCTGGAAGAGCAGCTCCTCGGCCGCGTGATCGGTAAAGAGCAGAAGGCTCTGGAGGAGCAGCTCAGTGACGTGCTGGAAGAGGTTAATTCCAATACCAAGGTACGCACGAATGGCTTGCTGGAACGGCTTACCGACGCTGGTGGTCAGAATTCACTTGCAATACAGCGGCGAGTCACACACAATCATAAACTTTCGTACCGCAAGATATTTTACCGGAGTGCTCTGCACAGGGCGGCTTGTCTTCTGTTGGGTTGACTTTCAAAATGATGCCTCTATTATACCAAACATCGCTCACGGTGCTCGACACGCAAAAATGTGTTAGACAAAACTAACCGTGGTTGCTTGTCTACGTACGTTACAGGCGCTGCTTGCCCTGGATGCTTCTTTGCTGGAACGCTTAACTTCCAACACTGGGAACTTGCTGGAGGATGAGGAGCTAATCGGGGTGCTTGCGAACACGAAGGTGCAACCCACAAAGCTAGAGCATGCATCGTAGTCACACCACGACCTAACCGCTGGTACCACTCTAGAAGCCGGACGTTGACGACAGGGTGACAATGACGACCTCACTGAGGAGCCACTTGACGGCTAGAAATTCGTCTTGATGTGACCGCCAGTAAATAGGATATCCTACAGTAATGCCTGTTTATGTACATGACCGACCTCTGCCTTGGTGCCACTCCAATACAAGCTGGGGCGAACTTCAACCAGAACCAGCATGGCATGTATCGTGTGTTCTACACCCTTCCAACGAAGCACCGGTCCTGGCCCCGTCCATTACGCGACTGCGCGACCCACAGGCGAAAGCGGCGGACGTGAACCAGAAGCTAGTTGCCGCGGACGAAACGAAGAAGTCCATCAACGAAAAGCGAGAGCAGTTCCGACCCGTTGCGACGAGGGGCTCCGTGCTGTACTTCTCCGTAGTAGAGTTGTCGCTGGTCAACGTCATGTACCAGACGTCCCTCGACCAATTCTTGGAGATCTTCATGGGGTCCATGGATAGGGCTGAGAAGGCATCGTTGGCATCCAAAAGGTTTGCGTGTGATTGTTGCGTACTATCTTGGTTGTGGTGGTACTGGAGGTGTTCGTGGTATTATTCCCGACGTTGCCGTTGTTGTTGTTGTTGTTGTCACTATTGCTCCAAGAAGCACGTGTGTGCTGGTATAGGAGCATGTACAGGGAGTGGTGGGACGAAGAAATGCCTATCTCTGCTCAAACGTTGTCTTGGTCCAGATTTTGGCGTTCTTATAACAGTGGTCTCTACCGTACGGAGAGGTATTAGGTCTCCGATACTACAATGTAGCTTTGATTTGTTGAGAATGAACCTAGGCCACTTTGGGTGGTCGCTACGATAGTTTTTCGATTTCTTGCCCCGGCGGCTGCAGTCAACGCCATCTAAGATACGCAAGGTTATCCACTTTTTCGATGAGAAGAGGAAAAGTACCATTTCATTGCTTGTAAAACAGAGCGATGAGTTTCACCGAGGCAAACTACACCAGCGGTTCACCATTTGTCCCGACAACAGAAGTACTTGTCTTTCGGATAAGGGTTGTTTGGTCCGTCGCTTATCGTCTCTCTACCCCGCCCCTTGCACCGCGATAGGGTGACCAACATTATCGAGACAATGACCTACATGTGCTACCGGTACATCAACCGGGGCCTGTACGAGAAGGACAAGCTGACGTTTGTGTTGTTGGTGACCATGAAGATCCTCATCACGGCGGCCCTTCTCAAGACAACGGACCTCACCATCTTCCTCAGGGGAGGGGCCGCGCTCGATATCAACTCGGTGAGGATGGAGGATACAATCAAGGCGGTAACATACGATGAGATTTCGCTCTCGGTTTTTTGTTGAAATGTGTACCGTGAAGCCAAACGTTCGAGAATGCGAACACCGTTTACACTTGGGGGGAAAATTTAGACACAACGACAAGCAGGCCTTCGTCGCAACATGTTTACCTTTCGCAGGTGAGACGAAAGCCTTTCAATTGGCTGTCCAACGAAGCTTGGCTGAACGTACTGGAGTTGTCCCAGTCGTCCAAGTTCTTCTCCAACCTACCCAATGACATGGCGGGCAACGAGTCCATGTGGCGAAGGTGAAACAACGAACACAACCCACCACCTAGCAACATTTCCGTGACTTGAACGCCCTATTCTTCCAAATCTCCCTTGCCAAACGCGCGATTGGGTTAATGGAGCGGTAAGCCAGTTTGAAATGCTGTCCCCCCATCTCACGGCGACAATGACGTCGCTTTTCCGTCCTACACGCACTGTAGCGATCAACCATTATCATGCCTACAACTTGTGACACTGCTTTCGCCACGTCTTCGGGGAGTTTCAATCACGATCATAACGGCCGGACAATGTCCTTTGGCGGCACTTCAGGTGGTACGAAGATAACGAACCTGAGTCGATCGCTATTCCGGACTACGAGAATCGCATCCTCGAGCAGGTGCAGCCACTTTGCAAATAATAAAGATGCTTCCCCAGGTGTTCTTCGGCGTTAGGCACGACATTGAGTCATCTGGAACTGCTACAATTTCGTCCCTTGGACAGAACACGAAAAAAGCCTGCAAACGGATTATGTTTCCACCTACCTGTGGATATTTGAGACGTAAGACATGGGACTGACGTAGTCTAGGGACCAGGGCAACCAGCACGTGAGCACACCTTCCACCCTCTACCTGTGCCCCGTTGGAAAAAAAGGTATCGATTGGGCCGTTCTACAAGCTTCTTCTCGTCCGCTCGATGCGAATGGACCGAACCATCCTGACGTGCAAGGAGTTTGTGAGGAACACCGCGGAGATGGGGCCGCCTTTCGTAGAGCCCGTAACAGACACAATAGAGATGATCTTCGACGAGATGGTGGGTTGCATGCGTTGCTGAGCTTGGTGCCGGGGGGGTTGTACGGGGGGAAACTCGCCTGGTTTTTGGTGGTGCCTGTAAAAATGCTAGAAAGTTGCAATGTTACTGCAATCAGGCCAAAGCTGCTCGGTATAGTGCCAAGCAACGTTGTGCTTGATAGCGCTACATCTCTCTGGAGTTTTCCCTTTGGCAGCACGCAAGAATGTTCAACAGGTCACCGACCCTTCAATATATATTTCCTACCACCCTTTGCCCTGCTGCCCACTTCTCGTTCTATAGAAAGCGGAAATCCCCGTTATCTTCCTGCTCTCCGTGGGAGCCGACCCTACCGAGAGCATCGAGGTTTTAGCCAGACGGAAAAAGGTGAACAGGGGAAGTTTTTCTTTAGATTTCAGCGTCGCCATCTTCCGCGGATTTCCGTCGAATGAGCAATAATGGACCACGTTCGTGTCTTCGTCCATTTTTTCACGCCGCTTGCCCGCAGTCCATCACGCCACGCGGTACCCAGAAAAAACGTATCATCTGGTTTCCCCCCTCCCCATTGGGTAAACGGCTTGTCGATCCTTGGCGCCACCTGAGCCTCCTTCGTTGAGGTCGTTTCCTCTCCGCCTACCCCTGTCATGGCTACCTATCCACGTTGCAGCCCTGAAACCCGCCACACCACCCCTTCCTTCTAATCCCATGGTGTCGGTCTCGTGGCCGTTCGTCTTCCCGTTGTGATGAAAACTTCAATACACCAATGACACCAACCAATGGGTCAGCTCCCGCCACCGTCGGTCATCTCCCTTGGAGAAGGTCAGGAGCCGGTTGCGATTCGGGCCATGAACGCCGCGGCGGTGAACGGCACCTGGGTGCTGTTGCAGAACTGCGAGCTCGGCCTCGGCCTCATGAACGAAATGGAGGCAAGTGTTGTTGTTGTTGTTGTTGTTGTTGTGTTCATCGACGGTGCCAAACCGGGAGCTCCGTGATGGCCTGAATAAAGATTGGAGAAAACTTTCCAGGGCGAATGCACTCCGGCTGTAGAAGGAAGGTTTCGTTCAATCATGAGTATTTCTCGAAGTATGACCCTGTTCGTTTGGTATAGATGAAGGCGCATTGAATCAAGTCGCTCACCAGACCAGCTAGAAAGCATTTGTTGTGTGTCAGTAGCGATTCGCGCTAATAGTAACACACTTTTGATTTCTGGCCAAGTTGAAGAAGATGGTGTGGCGACATACGAACCCCACCTCCGACAACGGGTTTGAGAAATCCTCACCACGCACCTGGCATCGGCAGGGTCTATTTTTCTTCGACTTCACCTGACGTCACGCATGCAAAATTAGCAAAGAGACGTTGCCCGGTGAGGCTAGAGCATGAGCAGAGCCGAGGAGACGTGTCTCAGCGAGAAAACACGGCTATCCTTAACCCCATCACCCCAACCACGCTTGACTGCTAGAGACGCTCAAGGCACGGGACGACCTCATACCTTTTGCCCTCGCTCCAAAATTGCTTCCGTCTGCACCATCCAACTTGGGTGATCAGGACTTGTTCGGGAAGCTGAAGGAAGGGATGGATCCTGCCTTCAGACTGTTCATCACAGCCCTGCCAAACGACGAGTTCCCGCTAGGGTTACTTCAAATGTGTACCAAGGTGGGCTCGCAGAATCGGCGCACGGGGCGATGCGTTGGGTGTTTCTCGGACCTTGCCCTTGGATCACATTTGCATGCAAATACATGGCACTTCACGATAGGGTACATTTCATAAGTTATGTTCCTCCTCTACCTATGCGGCTTGTTTATTGAGCACGGGGCGCGATACTCGAGTTCTTCCATGAATCGTGTCGTGTTTCATTTATTAAATATGCACTAACTCTTTGTGGGACCGAGGATAGACCTCAGCCTCCAGAGTCGCCGTAGTAGCCTCTTTCTACACTCAAATGCTGCCTCCATATGTAGAAGCACTGCTGGCTACTGTGCGGTGACATTATTCAACATATAAACCGGGCCCCCACGCCACTCGTCCATGTAAGTCGTAAAACTTCGGAAGCTAAGAGTACTCTTTGTACACGGTTATGAATATTTTACCTCTTTTTCTGCTTCGCTACGCCATGTTGGTGCAACCGATCAATTGTTACAACTAGGTCACCAACGAACCACCCGCGGGCTTGAAAGCGGGCATCCTCCGATCCTACACGGTCATCGTGGACCAGGAGAGGCTAGAGAGGGTGGAGACCGCTCAGTGGAGGCAACTTTTGTTTGCACTCTGCTTCCTGCACTCGGTGGTGAGAGGGAATTCTAGTGGAACGTAGAACATGCTCAAGAACACGGTGTGCCATCAATACCAGAATACCAATTGCTGCTACGCACCGAGCGTGAGGGACTGATAACCTAGGTCAGGAGAGCACCATGACGATAGCGGGTGATTGGTGTTTTCGTTCATTGTCAGGTGCAAGAGCGACGAAAGTTTGGTCCCCTTGGGTGGTGCATCCCGTACGAGTACAACAACGGCGATCTCACGGCCTGCATTCTCTTCTTGGAGAAGCATCTCTACAACGGGCCCATCAGGTGCGTGTGCTATCTCTGTAACACCGTCTTTTCGGTTCGTGAGCGAGTACGAATGTTGCTATTCACCGATTAGACCGGTACTCTGGGAGAAGGAAGAAATTGGCCAACATTGTGCCAAAACGTTTCAACAATCAATGTGAAAACAAGGGAAAATACAATGCTCCCACGTCCAACCATTGTCCTCTTCCGATCCGTGCTTTTCAGTTGGCCAACCTTCCAGTACATGGTGTCGGAGGTGCAGTATGGCGGGAAGATCACCGACGACCTCGACCGGCGCATGTTCAAGACTTACACACAGGTAGGTGATAACATACACACAAATCCCATGTAATGTAGTAGTTTTTTTGCGCCATCCTCGAGGTAAATTTGTTGAGCAAGTATTCCTGTTTCATGTTTGTTCAACAAGTTCCGCCAAACCGAAGAGATACCACCGTAGTTCTTTAACGGTTCTCGGACGGAAAAAGACCAGCACGCAGAGAACAAAGTTCGAAGGACTTAGGGATTGAGTCTCTAATGTGCACCGGGAGTATATCTATGAAATTCCGATCCTTAACGGAGGAACGTGTTCGCAACCCGTTCTCTTGGATAGGTTGTGTCAATGTACAGTACATACAAACTAAGCCCGCGTGCGCCTACGTACGGCTCCAAACACGAACATTCTGAGGGCATTCGATGGAGGAATAACGCGCCTGCCCAGACTACCAAAGGCTGGATTGCAGCTTTTCTCAGTTCTACTTGCTGCCCCGTGCGCACGCCATTTCTAGACGCGCTCTCCTGTTCACACCAGCCTATCTACGTACCATGTGGCTTGTCAGGCAAGCGGTTTTCTTCCGTATCACTCCGTTATCAGCGAGTACCTTCCACGTGTTTGCGGTCGTTTTCCTGCCACATGCCCGGAGGGAACCGACCGGCCAAACCCACAAGCATGCCCCTCGCGATGCCGTGGCGATGGCCGCAGGTGTGGCTCACCCCGAGCACGTGCGCGGATAGCTTCACGTACAACCCGCCAAACCCGATCTTCCGCATCCCTCAAGACTTCAAGTACACCATTCCGAGGTGAGAGTCGAAGGGGCGAAGGAGCAACTCAATGATTCGTATTCCTGTTTGCGTTCGTCGAAAAGGCGGACACGATTTTGCCAACATTGCAGCCCGCCTGCGTAGCACGGGTTCATCTTCGATAGAGCGTGGGCCCCGGTGGTCAAAACACCGCCCGCTAGTTTTGGTAGCCGCGAGTGCTCTCTGTCCCCGCCTGTTCGCCCGCCATACATCCCACACTCGGCAAAAAGGGGAGAATGCTTGGCCACATGCTCGATTTCTTCAACCCTCAGGAGAAGGTGCCAATGCTGAAGCACCGCCGATCCGAACATCATGCGTTCGACTCGCCTAGATACGTTTATGCTGCTCTGATACTGAATCGTCTCGCACCGGTGAAGACTACGTAGCTTCGGAGACATCCCCAGCATTCGGAAAGCATCGTCAATTCTCGTCGGTTGGAGGGCCCGGGTATCGACACTTTGATTCCCCCCCTTCCAGGTAGATCGACGTTTTAAGTTTCAAGCGCTAAGCCGTTGTCACTATCGTTGACATGATGATTTTTGTGCTACATCCTCTGCCGCAGCTCCGAGCAACTGGGCACCTTCAAGGACTTCATCAAGACCTTCCCGGAGATCGACACTCCCGAGATCTTTGGCCTTCACCCGAACGCTGACCTCACCTTCCGAGTGAAGGAGGTCAACGCCCTCTTCGCGACCTTGGGCAACACACAGCCAAAGGTGGGCAGTCAGGCAGGCGTCAGAGCATTGCCCTCCAGCCAACACGTGTCTGTACAGTAAAAAATGCTGTCGTGTGCAATACAGTAGGCGCCCGCCACATAGGAATCTCTAGTTTTCGGTGAGGCTGGGTTTCTTAGTTCCTAGGGCTATGCTTCGAATGACCGCTATATCGATTGTAGAGATGTTGATTTGCTAGATTTTGAGCTTTCCGAGGCAAGATCAATTTCGAAACTACAACTCCTTCAGTTACCGGTGCCACGTCCTGATATGAAGCTCTGGAAAGCTTCCTGGATCCACCTACTACGCATTTTCTGCCCGTTTCGCGATCATCCTTGAATCAAAGGGGGGCGGGGGAGGCGGCGGAGCCAGTCGCGAGGACGTGGTTTTCGAGAAGGCCGCCGAGCTCTTGGAGCGGTTGCCGGTGGACTACATCGAGGATGACTACAAGGCAAAGCTGCAGAAGCTCGGAGGGCTGGCGGTGCCTCTGAACATCTTCCTCTTCCAGGTAATTCTTGTTCGGACTGCAAACCCGATGTTGTTGGGAGGGCTTCTTTGCCTTACGTGCTCGCATGGCGATATACTGGCTAGTCCACAGCATAATATTATTGAGACAGGGACTTTCATACCGACTTGCGCACATGAGCGGTGCGGTCCTGCCGAGGAAGAAAGTTCGTGTGCATACAAGGTTTTGGGTGCAAGCCGTTACAGTAATATATTGAGCCTTCTAGGTAGACAGTGGTACGAAGGTTGTGCGAAAGGATGTGCTCTTTGTTCGACTGGGGTGAGACTGACGTAGGAGTACCATCAGGCTAGCACCCTGACTGTCCATGTAGTCTAATGGTTTGCCTGATCGAATAACTGTTGCTGATTGGTGGGCTGCTGCAAGAACTCTAGTCTTCCAAGACACGACCATAGAGCTTGCACGGTCGTGGGTAGCTTGTCGATGCCCTGTTTCCTCTCGGAAATAAGTAGTATCGCTGTTTCTCATGCGCGTTCGCTTTCACGCGACACGCTCCTACGCCCAATAGGAGATCCAGCGCTTGCAGAAGGTTATCGCGAAGGTCCGCTCTATCCTCACGCAGCTGCAGCAGGCCATCAAGGGGGAGGTGGTCATGACAGAGGAGCTGCAGGAGACTCTTTACGCTGTGTATGACGCTAAGGTGGGCCGACAAGCGAAAGCTCTCTCGAAATGCGACTTTGTTCTCACACGTAACCTCAGCCCAAAGAATCGGCCAAACGAGTATGGTTTGGCATCAGGAACATGTTGCTCTATCTTTATTTTATTGAGGGCGGGGTGTCAAATATGTATAGGAGGCAACACAGCACGTCGACTTCTCCTGCTAACCCCCGTCCCCCCTCGTCTCGGCCCGCTAACTTTCTTGCCAGAGTGCAACACGCCGTACAATCAGCTTGCACACAGTCACCACGCACCTTACGCCTTTTCCCAGTTATCACACTCCACCATACCCACTCATAACCTCAAACCCTCTCTCCTATCAAAACACTGCAATCCCTGGCCCCTAAATGAACGGCGCGGTGCGGCCCGACAGGTTCCGAGATTATGGGCCTTCACCATCACCGGCGACGAATTTTCGTGGATCTTGCCAACCTTGGGCCTTTGGTTCAGCTCCCTCATCACGAGGGACGAGCAGGACCGAACATGGCTCAACAACGGGCGCCCGACTTGCTACTGGCTCACCGGTTTCTTTAACCCACAGGCAAGTACAGTCTCGCTGTTTTTGTGGCCCTACGTTGTATGGCCTTGGAAATGGTGTGAACTACGTAGCACATCAGGATAGATAGGACAAGCGCGTTTACTCCAGTTGCTTAGCAAGCGAAACGCTTATTCGCGGCAGAGGCGTGGGTAAATCTTGGGAAACGAAGAACCTCCTAAAACGGAGGAACAATCGTCGTGCTGAACTGACTCTAACCGAACCGTGCCCATTGTACGATTACTTCCAACCTTTTCCCTGACACGCCTCCATCCAGCATGTCCATGTCCCGTCCTCACCCATCCATGTCGTCGGGGTGATTGTCGTTGCCACGGGTCTACATGTAGCACCGTTGCCAACAACATGCTGCGCTGGCGAAGTAGGAGATTAAATCGAACAACCACGAACACATGAGCTTTGAATCGATTCTCATCTGGTGTTGAAGCTCGTCGTTGTTCTTTTTTTCGCTTCTTCCCTTGTCACGGCGGCCGATTCTATTGCCGGCACGCCGCAGGGTATGCTTACGGCCATGAAGCAGGAGGTGACTCGCAAACACAAGGCAGAGAAGTGGGCGTTAGACGACGTGGTCTACCACACCGAAGTCACCTCGTATGAGCGGATGGAGCAGGTGTGAAAGCACGCGTGGGGTGGTTGTGGCCCCGGAGTTCGATATCCGTATGAAAGTGTTATCATTGGGAGAGGTGGAATCGCCACCACTATTGTACTATCCAATGCGAGGGCGCGTGCGTTGTTCATCGAAAAAAAAACATCATGCGTGAATCAATGCGAGTTCGAATGCGTGGCATGCCCCCAGTGCACCCAGTGGGTGCGATGAACAACTTACGTAGTGAGGCGCTTGGTTTCGGTGCCCCTCCATGTTTGCATGAGAGCCTTGTTGGATATAGATACGACACTTGTGTATCCATGCCGAATTCGAATTGCTCTTCCCCGATGTCGGGATAGCAAGCCTTTTGCGTGGTTCAAGTCAGGTAATAGTGCTGACGGTGCACATGAATGACTGCAAATGATAGGACCGTCGTTGGCCACAACGTTTTGAACGGTCGCCCAGGTCCGATCGCCCCCGGCGGAGGGAGTGTACATCCACGGCCTCTTCTTGGACGGCGCGGCATGGTCAAAGCAGGAGGGGGTCATGGTGGAGTCAGAGCCAAAAAAGCTGTTCGTGTCGCTGCCTGTTTTGTTCGTTAGTGCCAACACCAAGAGCGACCAGGTGTGTTTGCGGGCGTGCTTACATTGCTGTGGTTGGTGATGTTTCCTCCACCCCACATTGGGTTTGTTCGCATGCATACTATGGATGTGGAGTGAGCACTGGTCATTGCATCTGCCGTAGAGCACACCGCGCTGGCTGTAATTCCGCCGAGCCCAGACAACAAGGCGCATAGAGATATCCGATATATTTATAGATCTCTATATATATATCAATCGGAGACCTGCTTGAAGCGAAAATCCATGGAGGCAAGGGAGTTTGAGTGAGCCAAGCGGCACCTGGCCAACGTTTGCCATGAACCTAGCACGAAGATACACGGAGAGACCTGCCCGTTCTGATTTGTGGCCGCATGACACTTCACCGGACTCGACACACGGTCGACTACTACTATTTACTCATCAGGTGAAGGTGAAGCGCGAGATGTTCGGCGCCCAGGGACCTTTTGAGTGTCCGTGTTACAAGTACTCGGCCAGGACAGATCGCTACATCATCTTCATGGTCAACCTCAAGTGCACTATGGAGAAGAATCCGCAGTTCTGGACCCTCAGGGGAACCGCCCTCCTTTGCAACACTGACTGATGTGCATGGACCCAAAATTTATTCAGTCAGTCGGGCCTTTATTTAATGTTCCCCGCGCGACACCGACTGGTGATGTCATTGCCTGGGGTAGGCGCAAAATTTTTGTTATGTTGAGACGCAGAATGGCATCCGCAGTGACTGTTGGTAAGGTCAGGGAGGTCGGGGAATTTTCGTGGATGTTACCAGAGAGTGGGTGCACTACAGAGATCTAAATGACTATGGCACATTCCGAAATGTGGCTTGCTATCGCTAGGTTACACCAAGGTCGCGTTCCACAAATAGTGCGGGACTTACACCGAAAAAGCAATCTAGACGAGGAGCGGCAAGGAGACTCATATCGTACGCCACGCGGACAACAATAGTGTCTTCACCGCAGGGCAAGATACGAGAAACTTGCGAGCAGAATAAATCGCACAGCATGAATGAGTTCATTTGAAACAACAGATATGCCTCCCCAGGAAAAAACTGACCACACCCTGTGAGGGAGACCTCCCGTCTAAAATCGTTTTTTTTTGCGTTTTTTCCTTGTCCTTCAGAGGCTGACGCCGTCCGTTGACCAGCCAGGGTGGTCCGTGCCTAGTCAAGCTTCTTTGAACAAAAACGTTCGCGAACTAGCATGATGGATTGTTGTTCGTTCATGTCGTGCAACCTTGTTCGTGGTACATATTGTCTGTTGACTACGGAGGAACCCGTTTCTTGGCCTCGAAATTACCAACAGGAAGAAGGTCGTTTTCAGATGTCAGAACTCTTTTTGCGGGAGAAAGAACAAATAATTCAGCACTACACCAGAACCACAATGACACCGACACCCGTCGAAATGTTCAGCGGAAGCTAGGCCGAAAGCCAATGCTGTCATGAGTAGGAGTATAGATCTAGGAGCACGGCAAAATATCAAAACAGCATAGGAATCGACGACGAAAATAATACGGTACAGCGGATGTCATTCGTGCCTTGGATGTCCAACCCTCCGACGGTTTTAGCTGAACGAAAGGTGCACAGATGCTGTGTATGATACTCGCAACTTATCCTCCGTGCTTTGAGAACATGCCCATCCTGTTTGCGTTTGCACAGAAAGTTTGGGGCGACAACAACAAAAGTCAGCCATACTTAAGTTCACCAACCACACGGTCGATAATGGTGACGCTTCAGTTGTTGCAATTCGCTGGCTCCTGCGCCACAGCGAGAGCCCAAAAGACAATGCCAAAAAAACGGCAAGCTCCACAGAACATCGTGAACGGAGCTCTGCGCAGATCAGCAGGGGGGGAGGCGTTCTCTTATGTTTTGCATGCCTTAGCGCCACAGCGAGAGCCCAAAAGACAAAGCCAAAAAAACGGCAAGCTCCACAGAACATCGTGAACGGAGCTCTGCGCAGATCAGCAGGGGGGGAGGCGTTCTCTTATGTTTTGCATGCCTTAGCGGTTAGACCATTGACCATGCGTCCTCGAGAGGACGGAGCATTGTTCCCACAGGACCGATCACCGATGGTCAATCGTTCCGTTCTACTTTGCCAAAGGTGGCTCAAAAATGTCTTCCCTAGTCTGTCTATCCTAACGATATCCCTTCCCGCCTTTTCGACCCACTTCCTATGCCCCAGGGGAGGATTGAAAAACGATACAGGACACGTCAGGCCATGACGTGGGCTGGATGTCTCAGGTAGCAGGCGTGTGCAGAATTCATCGCACGCAGTATTTTTCTCGCTCCCAACCTGTCTACACCAGCCTCTGGTAATTTCTCTCCAGAATTCATGTACCGCTGCTGCTGATGATGATGATAACAGATGAGGGTCCTCTCTTGGTGAATTTACCTATCTTTCCTCTCATGCTCGGGTCTCAAGACACAGTCGGAAGCTTCTACGGATAAAAAAGCACGGAAACCTGACAATCGCAACTGGAGACATGACAAAAAACACAATGTTGTATGCATAAAAGAAAGATGAAAACAAACGGTCTGGCGCGACGCACGATAATATGGTGTACCTACGTTCGCACAAGAAGGACGAAAAAGTTGTATCCTACACCTTGCATCGCCGATGTCGTACGTGCGACTAAAACATTCTTTCCCAACATCACTCGCCATTTTTACGGCACACAGAGACATACACAAATTCTCATTTACAGCGAAACATGGTTCAGGCAGTCAGTCGGCGCCAACACGAGCGTGCAGACCAGCGCAGAGAGGTCTGCAAATCGACAAGGCAATAGCCCACAATTAACAAGCTCGAGGCGAGCGGCCCTGGGATATACATGAGCGTGCCGACCGAACCTTAGAATTACTAAAAAACAAGCCAAACAATCCTTTCACCACTAAACACATGTAGGAGAATAAAAACTCGACCAAGGGACCCCATTACCAAAGCAAAGCTAACAAATAAAATGACCACAACGAAGCAACGACAATAAGAGCAATCGAGAGTGTAACAGAAGGAAGGCATCCAAGGGAAAAAAAACTCGTGACTGGCGCACGAGCCGCACCCGTGTTCAAGACAGGCAAAATACCGTTAGCATACCCTTCCTGCTAGACCTCGAACAGAAAACCACAAATCTATCACAATAGTGCTACACGCGTACTCCACAGAAATACAACAAGAAAGTGCTAAGGGCACAACAAGAGAAGGTGGAACGATAATCTTGTACACGCTCATGCTGCCCCTGTCACACGATCAATCAATCTCAACGGCGTTCACTGAGAAGGAACCACTCTAGAGCACATTTAGATGACAGAGTTTCACCGAAAACGTGAGATCGTCGCGAACGGCCTTGGCGAGGTCCTCGAGCCTTCACCATTATCACATTTACCAGAAATGAAATTAGCGCTTGTTTCTGAACGGTAAGGGCCTCGTCAAGACTGTATGCAGCCCGACCCGGATTCTTCAATCCCCTCGCTCGTGTCGCCACCGTTCGCCGCCACCGCAGCCGCCACCGCCTCGACAGCCTCTTCGGCCGGTGTTTTCGTCGCCGCCCCCGTCTCCGATGACACGGCCTTCTTCTCCGGGAACACGGTGCTGGAAAGGTTGTTCGGGGTCTGTCCCTGGAAGAGCTCTGCGTTGAGAAGACGTTGTTCGGCCGCCCGAGCACCGGCGGCGCAACAGCTAACCGGAGCAGAGGCAGGCTCACCGCCGTGTGCCGTGTGTACTCCACCTGCAAACCGATGCCTCGAGCCACCGCTCCTGACCGCCGCCCCTTGTTCCTCCAGCCCGGCACTCCCATTCTCGGCCACCCGTACTCCCTGGCCCCCGTCTGCCTGTTTTGCCCGCGATTTGCCCGCTCCCGCCGTAAGGAGGGAAGGAGGCTGCTCTTCGTTTTTCTCTCCGCTTGTTCCCTCGCCGGCCTCTCCCCGCTCTTCCCAGACTCGCTTCTCGACGAGTACGCCCTCTCTGTCGAGCCGTCGGCGGGCCCCGGCGCGTCCAGCGCCGGTACAACTCGTCCCGTGGGCTCCGCCGTGACTAACGCACCCACGAGCTCCCACATCTGGCAGGTCCAAAACCTCACGGGAGGGGGGCACGGAGGACGCCGCCGCCTCTGCCGCTGCCGCACCCGAGCCGGCCATGTCCATGGCGGCACAGACATTCAACTCGCAGAACGAAACGCTATCGAGGTCGCAATCGTCGTTTCTAGTGGTGGCAGCAGAAGCAGCAGCAGCAGCCTGGGCCTGAGCGTTGTTGACAGCTCTGGCGGCGGCCTGCAACAGAGCGCCGTCTGAGACCGACGACCCGGACTCGCTTCTCGACGACGCGGGGCACTCCTGTTCCCAGCAACAACGGCTGGTAGGTCCCGGCGTCGACCTCGCTGCGTTCGCTGTCGCCGCCACCCCGTTCACCCTGTCCCCGCCTCCTCCCATGAACTCCCGCCGGTCGTTACTGTCCTCCAGGGTGTGCCAGTTCTCACTGCTCGCCTCCGCCGCTGCCGCTGCCACCGCATCGAAGTCCATGGCGATTAGCCCATTACCGCCGCTACCACCGACAGGCCCGCCGGCCGCACCGCCGACACAGGGTCGAAAGCCGTTGTTTGCCACATATACGTCCGTCGAGGCGGCCTTACCGTTGCCATCATGACAAGAACCACTGCCAACGTCAAAACTAAAACCAAAATCAACACCAAGGTCAACATCAACATCAATACCACCACCGTCACCGCCGTCACCATCACCACCGCCGGCGCCGCTTGGGTCACCGCAGTGGCCGAGGCGTTCTTCCCCGTCGAAATGGAGCCAGGCAAGGCTGTTCGCGCTAGTGAGGAGATTCAAGGCACGATCGCGGAGGTAGAGGGCGTCCCGGATGGGCTGCATGGCGTCGTGAATTTCCATGGTTCCGTGGGGCTTCGTGAGCACTACCGCCTGAAGAGAGAGGGAAGGGACGCGACGGTAACGATGACACCGGAAGGGCGACATCGAGGGTTGTCAACGTCGAATGCTTTAGTGCACCGGGGGGGTGTCTCTGGTGGAAGCTCGCTTAAGAACAAAATTCGGTCAGGAGGAAAAGAGACGCCGAGGATTGGCAAGCAGAGTGGTTTTCGCATGACAACCTGCGTCGCCCATGAAGGACTTGCAAAGTGGCGATGCCTTCGGCTAGAAGAGAAAACCGTCTGCTACCAGCCGAACAAGACCAAAAAAAATCCGAAATGGTTGTTGTACACCCTCTTCTGTGGTTCACCTGTCCACAGCTTTGCACACCCTCACCTTCACGGCGCCCCCTTCGATGGAACATTGTAGACCGAGGCGTTGATAAAACCCAGGGGAGAACTTATCCCCGTCGGTTCCGGCCCACGGCACCCACGACGTCCAACACTCGTAGGGGCTGTCTAGGAAAGGCTTCACCACCTCCATGCACGTCACGCAACAGCCCCAGTCCTCATCCCTCTCGAACCCAGGCGCCGGACACCCGGCGTGTTCGCACGCGTACCCGGAGTCCATCTTGTACGACGGGAACGGGCACTCCGGCAGGGGCATGGACGCAGCCGTGTCCAACACCCCAACGAGGTGCACCTCCATCTGCTCAACCACAACGCGCATCAATGAAGCGCCACCACTACCACTGCTGCCGTCACCACTGACAACGGCACCAGCAGCGCCCGTCGCAGCCTCCGACTTCCCCGCACCTTCACCGTGCAGCGAAAGGGACCGCCGAAGGTCGCCCAGGCTCCACACGAGGCTACCGAGCTGGTCCAGCCTGCGCTCCCGCTCTGCCAGCGTCGCGCCCGGCGCCTCCTCGAGGTCCCGCTCGCCGCGAACTACCCACGAGAACGTGTCCCGGACCATGCGCGCGGCAGCGATGTCTCCCGCGACGTCCTGCAAGGCTCTCACCATTAGCGGCAGCGGGGAGTACGCCGCATCACACCCGAGGACGGCTCCTGAGGAGCAAGCCCGGTCCGCCACGGCGCAACAGCCCCGCACGCCCTGCATGCGCCCGCGAGCCACCTCTGGCATGGCGCTCGCGAGCACGTCCCCGGCGACCGCTCGCCACGAGTCGGCCGACACACCGCCGGCGGCTGCGGCGGCCGAGCCGCTGCTGCTGTCGACTCTACTTTTCTTGCCCTCGGCGGGCGGGTTCAAGCTCATTTTGTCCCCCGCGAGGGCAAAGCAGCGTCTCTTGCTCGCCGGCTGTCCGCACGAAGCAGGCGATGAGCACGGTGACGACGCCGCCGACGATGACGATGACGCCGACAACGGGCTGCCGTCCCCGGCATGCCGCCCTTCCCATCCCGGCGACGATCCCCCAACATCTATCCCGCCGTCGCCGCCGCCGCCGCCCGACCGTGAGGAATGGATGGCTGCCCTAGCGATCACGGCGCCGGCGAAGGCGCTCGGATTCAACGAGATCAGCCGCCGGAGCTGGGGGGACATAAGCCGCCAGCAGTCCAAGCCATCCAACAGAGAGAACACCCTACTGAACAGCATCGTGACGGGTACCAGTGGGGTGTCATCATCGAGCGGTGGTGCTACAGTTGTTGTGGATGGCACGCCGCCGCCGCCGCCGCCGCCGGCAGTGGCCGTTGAACGGGGCCGGCGGGAGGGGAGGCGGAGCGCGAAGCGGGGGTCGCTTACACCAGAGCAGATCGCGTCGATGGCTCGGCAGGCCGCGACAGGGTCCTCGGAACGGTGGAGGCACTCGAACACGAGGTCTGCCTCTCCCTCATCTCTGATCCACCTATCAGGCTGAACAACCATTCGTTTCGAGTCAACCGCGAGAAGGGGCAACATGAAACAAACGCACGGAGGGCCGGGCGGGAGGGGGGGGGTGTACTCAGTCGTTAGACCATTGACTTCGCATCCCTACAAAGCCGGGACGGAGCACGCCGGGTTCTCACCGGACCAGGCTCTCACATCACCAAGCGCGAAGCGCCGTGAGATATTCGGCGAGTCGCATGAAGGGTGCGCTGCATCCTGCTAAGGGTTTTCGGCATCTTGTGCTTACTTCCTTGCGTACGGATGACAGCTGCGTATGACTTCATTTAATTTCTGGTGCTTTCACTTCCAGAGACAGTTGTAAGTACTGTGTAACTGCCTCGAGGGTGCTTGACCACCTTAACACAACGTGATGCGATCGTCCCCCTTGCGCGGAGTGAGGGTTCTCCACCCCGCACAACATGATCCACTCGATCACCATTATGGTTGCCGCAAAAAAAAAGAGGTAAAAAATAAAACGGTAACCTGGTTGCCCGAGTTCACGAAGTGAATTGGCTTGTTTTACA